TACCCAAATTCAACACGATGCAGTGTGTGACTGATGTGTGTGTGCTAACCTGTTTTATCTCATAGATCATTTCAGGCTTGGGATCATGTCCACAAGCTGCTGCAGAGTCCCTCGCTGCTTCTTTGGAGGTATCCTCTTAGCAGTAATTAAGTACTTCTCTGGTATGCAAGTATTTATCACTAATGCTGTGTCTTCGCACACACGTGAACTCGAGTTGCGTCTGTGACCTCCCGTCATATTTCTTTTCAAGATTTTCTTATTTAATCACTAGTGTACATATATTTATATTTATAGATACATATATATATTTAGTCATCTTTTCTCTTTTACCATGTCTCTCTAATATTTGGTCCTTACTATTTTTCTATTTTCTTTATTATTTTATTTTATTATATTTTCTTCTACTGTACCATGCTGCTGAGTGACTGCTGCTTTTAAAGACTTTGTGTGCAGTCGTGTTGGAACAAAGTTGCATGAAAGTGTCCAAAATGTCTCGGTTTGCTGAAGCGCTTAACACTTCCTGAAAAACAGCCCCCGCTGTAATCACTCTTCATCACACTTGCTGTTATTCTGACAGTCACCAAATGTACACTCATCCACCCCAGACAGAGAAACGTTATTGGTCACTCGCTCCACTGCTCTAGACTCCAGTGGAGATGTGTTCTTTACAGCATCCGATGCTTTGCATTGCATGTGGCGATGAAGATGCTGCTCAGCCGTGGAAACCTGCTCCATGAAGCTCTTTTACATTGCCTTCATCACTGAGTTGCTGGAAATTTCACAGCTGGGCTTGTTGCACAGGTTGCATCCTATCACAGTACCAAACTGGAATCCACTGAGCTGCTAAGAGCGAGCCGTTGCCTAGTTGCTTAACTTTATACACCTGTGGCTGTGGAAGTGACTGGAACACCTGAATTCTGTCTTTGGGTGGGTGAGCGAACACGTGGAGACTCCTCTCAGGTGCTGGAGGCTCCAGTCAAAGCCTGAAGCTTACATTAGTTTATCAGAGCTGTGATGACAACATTAGGCTCATATTTAGGTCAACACAGAGTTTAAAACTTTGTATGTTTTGATCTTTGTTCTTAAAACAAAATCTCTTTTTTGTTTCAGTTTACGGGGATTTTTTATTTCATTTCATTTCGATTTAAAGTTATAGTTTAATCATCTTCTAAGTGTCCTGATGCTCCAGCTGTCATCTTACACACATCTTACTGTTAGCAGCTCTGCTAGCTGTACTGTTGGCCCGACATGCTGTTGTCCATCTGGAGCTTCACCGTAACACTATAAAATGTGATAAAACATTAGGCTGTGGATGTCAGTTCATCTGTACACACGTGAGTCTGCTCACCTGACTCCACATGTTGCTAAGGTAGGCGTGATGCTGGTGTCCTCCTGTTCTGTCCTGTCACATGACTCTGTTTCTCCTTCTGACCTCTGGTTCAGGGAGTTCAGGCGCTGATGAGAAGTGCGGTGCATCCTCTCCTGCAGTCAGTCACAGACTCCATAGAGGCCATCATTATCACCTTACACCAAGAAGACTTCTCAGGGTCAGCCTCTCTGCATCAACAACAGCTCACTACATATAATGTTAGAATGTTTTTGGACCGAATGTGCCTGCAACATGAATCAGACTCATTTTTATTGGTTGTAGCTAGAAAATCGAAGACCTTCATGAGTGGTTTGTCCTTCTAACAGTCAGAACTGTGCCTCTGGTTCACTGACGGTACAGATCACACTTGATTTTCAGATTGAATTCAGTCTTATTTTGAAAGTAAGTCCAAGCTCAGACTAGGACCGTCAACACGGCGTCACTGCTATGAATGAAGATTAAAGTCCAAAAGCTGGAGCTGGACTCATCTCGTCCTGCTCGCCGTCGGCTGCACTTGTTGTTCAGCAGTTGGTCCAACATCATTTAACACGAATCAAACAGCTGACGCTAACACATGCTCTCGTTTACAAACACAAAAAGTGACAGAAGGTAATAAAGAAAAAATGTCTTGTTTCGAGATTAATATCATACAGTAACAACCCCACAACATTTGAAAGAAACCTCTAAGGATCAAAGGCCCCCACAAGCAAACGGCTGACCACAGTGTGCAGACTCAGTGTGTGTGTGTGTGTGTGTGTGTGTGTGGGGGGGGGGGGGGGGGGGGGGCTCACTACATCTTCTAGTTTCTAAAAATCACTAAAAGAGTGACATGTACCAAGCCAGGTTTCCTCACACTGACCTGCTTTCTACAGTTGTGTTCAGACTGTTAATGCACAGCATCTTTTCTGAGTCCCACAGCAAACACATGTTAAACACATTTCTCCCTCTGATGTGCTGTGTGTGCTGCAGGCCTCTGTCCAACCCCGACAGACCTGATATTCCTTGCTCTCTGTACATGAAGGAGCTGCAGGGTTTTATCTCCCGAGTCATGGCAGACTATTTCAGACACTTCCAGTGTGTGGACTTCATATTCGAGAGCACGGAGTCAATCGCCCAGAGAGCCATCGAGCTGTTCATCCGCCACGGCAGCCTGCTGCGTCCGCTGGGAGAGGGGGGCAAGATGAGATTGGCTGCTGACTTTGCGCAGGTAACGGAGATGCCATCTGTTTTCTGCTCTTCGGCCTCGTTTCGTTCAAAGGCCGATTTTCATTTTGACTTTTCTGTTTTTACGCGTGTCAGATGGAGATGGCTGTGGCTCCTCTGTGCAGACGAGTGTCTGATTTAGGAAAACCCTACAGGATGCTGCGCTCCTTCAGGTGTGTTGGCTTCAATTAACAGTCGTCACAGTTAGATGGTGCACTTTGTTTTTTCATGTAAAGAATTACGGCCTAACAGGCAGTAATGGTGATGAATCATGTTAACCATGCAGGACTTTACCTACATGCACTCGGTGCTGTCCTGACCTAGACACTGTGTATTTTTCATAGTAAAACACTGCATTTTAAATACTACATATCTACAGTACGTACATACTAGTTCCAGTTTATTGTTGTTTTTAATATTACATAAGAAACTGTTGACCTTCATGTTATTTTGGTGAAAGCTGAGAGTTTAGGCACAGCGAGTTATCCAGCATCGAAACTCCACAAACCTGCTCTGGTTCCAGTCCAAGTTTGGGAGAACGCATCAGTTTGTAAAACCTTTACTGGGAAAAAGTGAGCAGCAGGAGTCCTTCATCAAACCACCTGATCAACAAACTCCGACATGACCCACCGCCGTTTGTCTTACACTGAAACGATGTGCAGTAAAGCTGCAGCCATTACAAAGTAACTCAGTCTGACACCAGTTTAAGTTATACTGAAGGCTGACAGCAGCCGGCCTAGTTACCTGCAGCACAGGGGTGGGTGTAAAGGGGGCCACGGGGTGCACCGGACCATGTTTATTTCAAAGCTTTCATAACATTTTTCAGATTGAAAGTGAAATATTATCAAAGAATGTCTTGATCAAATCACATTAAAAAAATATAGAAATAAAAACTAATAAAACTCTCATTTGATTTCTGACTGGATTTTTTTCTTCGGGGAAATGGAACCAGTGGTAGGCAGACAGTTTCAGTGTTCGTTCAGGTGCTCACACAGATGACCGAGGCTTTCATCAGGTTATCAGAGAGCTTTTCCTGTAAGCTCGTCTTTCTTCTGAATGAACACGATGAGCAGCAGATGTTTTACATGGAAGGTAAAAAGTGCTGTTTGCTTTGTGTTTGAGGCCGCTGCTGTTCCAGACCAGTGAGCTGATAGCCAGCAGTCCAGCTGTCGGTGAACTGATTCCCTACAGCACCTTACTACACTTCCTTTTCACCAGAGCCCCACCGGAGCTGAAGTCACCTCACCAGGCCTGTAGACACACACACACGCGCACACACAGTTCAAGCTGAATCGTCCATCATCGTGTGGCACTTCTGCAGTGTGTACAGTGCACCATCTCAATAAGCCTGTCCCCCACAGAGAGCAGAGTGGTCCATCGCCAGGTACTCACAATGGCTGGATGATCATCCCTCTGAGAGAGACAAGCTCAGCCTCATCAGGTAGGCTCGGTGACGTAAACACATCTGTTAGAACACTTTGGTCTGTACAACAGGACAGGAGCTGCCACTGTTACCTGAGTTTAGATTACCTAATCTCAGGGGGCCTTTACTGTGATGAATGAGCTCCCTCTAGTGGTAGACTGACTGATGTGTGTGTAATTTAAGGAGTCACTGCTGACTGCCAATAAGAGTCCTAACTCAGTATTAGTTTGCACTACAATCAAATCAGGTAAGAATAGCATGAAAAATATTTACTCCAGCATTAAGTGTTGGGCTTGTTGTACTACATGGTGCATTTTGGCTTCAAAGGAAGATCAAACAGAGATGAGATCAAACAGACATTTAGTTTGACCTTGAAGTAGTGAGAGGTCCAAAAACACCATATTTAGAATCCCCATGTGTTCCCTACATGCTGCCAGTACAAACAATGTTTTAAATGGCAGTATGCTGCATTTTTATCGTCTTGACCTTCAAGTCTGTCGACCTTGAAGGTCAGAGGCCAAATGTGACACTTGTTAAAAATGCACACTGTTCTTGTAAGACTCGCAGTTTTGAGGCACCAACTCTTTACACTGACCTTGAACACCTCGCTGGATACAAGTCAGATATGACAACTGATTTGTGTGCACTGTGATAACAGATGTGCTCACTCTGTCTGTCCTCTCAGGGGCGCTCTGGAGGCCTACGTGCAGTCAGTCAGGGTTCGGCAGGGGAAGGAGTTCGCCCCCATCTATCCCATCATGCTCCAGCTGTTACAGAGGGCTACCAGCACCTGACCTGTGTTTGGGTCCACAAATAATCTGCTCATTTTTTAACAAGTGTGGTCCAGGGGTCGAGAGAGAGTATTTACAGTAAAAGTAATCTCAGCAGTAACAGCAGAGAGCCTCGTTCGAACCACAGAGGAGAGGAGAACACCGCAGCTTTCTTAGAACAGACTTGCTGATATAAAAGTAATAATTTGTGACACACATCAAAAACTCATCTGAATAAAGGCAATATTTCCAAAACTTTAATGTAGTACTTCATTGAAAGCACAGGTTTTGCCTTCACAGACAGTATGACAGGAACACTACACACGCAGACTCAGATGGGCCACTTCCACTGGTTGGGGGGCGGCTCCTCTACCAGCGGCTCCCACGGCTTCCACTCGGACATCTTCCTCGATAACGCCAGCTCACACTCAGCCTGCGCGCAGGAAAAAAATCATCAGCCACAAATACTAATGTATACACTAATACTGTAAAGCAACAATACTTTTTAGTTAAGTTGAGACAACTGCGTTCACATATTCACCGAGACCGTCCGGTCTGTATGAAGGCTGACGGGAACCAACCGAACACATCAGTGATTTAATGTCGACTTCAGTGTGAAACAAACAGTAACTCTGTACTACGAGTGTGTCAGCTACTCTGGTGAGAAAAGCACTCTCAGAATAAAAGAGGCAGCAGTCTGTACAAAGCCACGCGCTCATTTAAAGACCTGGGAGCAATACAGTACTACCAGCAGCGTATTAGCAGTCTTCAAACCACAGTCGGAATCACTTTAATCCAGGGATTCAATTTTAATCCCTGGATTAAAGTGAACCAGAATGATCTGGACCTGCGCTCCAACACCTTCCGTTACTAAGCTTGTCACTGTGTTCATGTATGTAGGCTATATATGTCATACACCCCTCTGCACTCGAGCTGAACACGAAGTCGTGACTTTTAGGTTTGTACATGAAGAGTTTTCCACTCAGCTTCATCACTTTGATCAGAGTGAGGCAGACTGACCACGACCTACCTGGAAAATGACCTCTTCAATCTGACCGCAGTTAATTTTCTTCTCAAGCTTCTCAACATCGGGTTCCTGTGAAGAACACAAATCCTGTCAGTTCATCTAGGCTCCTCTGTCATTCGTCTCCTGTCTGCTCACACACTGACCGTTTTCACGTGGCTGAAGCGCTCATTGACCAGCTGCTCCGTGTACTTCCTGTAAGCAGCGTCCTGCGGCATGGTCTGCAAGGATGCCAGGATCTTTGTGTAGAGGATCCTGAGACGCTGAGAGGAACAGCACAGGGTGAGTACACTGCTCAACTCCCTCAGCTTCAATGACAGCTCCATAAACGGCACACGGATAACACGAGTGTGATCCAGGACTAGTCTGGTCACAGTCAGGCGATGGGAAAGATTAAAAATGAGGTATGTGGTGCAGTCACCATCAGCTGCTCACCTCCTGTGGATTTTGAGACACTGCCAGGCCAACCAAGCCGGTCGTCTGGAAGAGAGGAAAAGGAGAGCTGTCCAAGAGTGGCTAATGTCAATGCGTTCACCTTTAACCACGTGACTCCAGCATCGGCACTCGACCCTCAGTCTGTCTGCTCGCACTGTCAACAACCAGCTCCACAGCTGGTTTTATGACTTGGACGAGACACTTGTGGTTGTTAATCACCTCCAACAACATTTCCCTGCTAATGTGGAACTTCCTTAAAAAACATTCTCTGAAATCCATCAGCCCTCACCTTCAAATATGTGCACTTTATTAACATTACAGGCAGGTTTGCACTGAGCAGGGATTTTATTTTCCAGGTCTGTTGGTCCAGATTCGGGTCTCCAGTTAGCCATGTAAGGGAAGTATGGCTTAACCAGTTTCTTCAAAAGCTCCCACGGGTGTTCGGCTGACTTAACCGTGGGACCGGATTCAAAGTGTTCGGTGAGCTTTCCTTTAGTTTGCCACCTGCTCTGACCGGACACTGCCGTGCTAGCTCCTTATCAAGTTAGCATGCTAGCACAAGCTAGCACAACATGCACAGCGCGCAAACGGAGGTGACAGTACCGTCACCTTAATAAAACTAATACAGCTGTTTTATTGTGTTTCTTACATTAAAAGAAGACATGACCTTTACTCATACCTTCTTCAGCAGCCCAGCCATTCTCCAGACGTCAGGAATGCGTCATGATACTTCCGGCTGCTAAATATGACGTCGGTGTTGTCTTTTTTTTCTCGGCGTTTTGAAAAACGATTTGTTCCTGTCATAATAAATGTTAAAAATGAGAAAACGCGGACTGTTCTGTGATCACAGCAGCGTAAAACTATATACATGCTATGTATTCACGCTAGCATAGCATAGGTCGGATGTAGGTACAAACATCTGAACGTTTTGCTTTTATCCAAGCAGGCTGAGGTTGTGTCGCTTGAAGTACGCGCACTACGCGTACTACGTACGGTGTGTACTATACGAGAAGTGCGGAAGTAAGAGGCTTGTGAAATGGGACGGTCTAGCCTTCGTCGCGCTGTTCAGGTTGCCTAGCAACCATGATACTAACCGCGAGTAATGTTACATACAGCTTTGTTTGAAAGAAATGAAGGAGAAACAAATGTTTTGTTAGTCATGCATTTTCGTCATGACATCACTTTGATTAGTTGAGTCTCTGAGGCTGAGACCACTAGTGATGGGCAGATGAAGCTTCATGAAGCACTGAAGCTTTTCATCCAATTGGTTCACCCCAGCGCAAAGCTTCTTGAAGCTTCATTTGCTCTAGTAGGACACCTACTGGACGTAAAAATATTAGTTGGCATGAATTTGAAGAGTGTGGCCTTTTGCACACAGCCTGTAAATGTCAACAACAAAAGGAGTGTGTAAAACATGTATATTGTAGTGATGCAGTATACTGTGTATATTTATACTGGCAGTATGGAAAATGATTATTTGGAAATGCTTAAAATGGAAATGATCATTTACTGTGAGGTGAGGTGTGGTTGGGGTGTGGACAGTGTTGTGCTTTTGTAACGTTGAGGTATGGACAGCTACAATCCTGCCTGTTCACATTTTATTCTGTAAAAACTAAATTTTCACTGCTTTTATGACCTTTTTAGTGGGGAGAACATAGCTAGGATTTAATGATTTAACAAATCTTTTGAATCCTTTGTCCTCCACAATGCTAAATGGCTGGGAGTCCTCAATCACCATGCTAACCAGGTCTTCATCTATTTGAGATTGTTCTCCTGAGGAAAGACAATAAAGACAAAGCACAAATATAAATATCACACACGTAACTTATAACAGTTGTATAATATTGTTATATCATTTAGTAACATTACTGCATGCTATATTATCATTGCATTTGATGGCTCACCTGGTCTTGCTCCACAATCGGTGTTCCCCTTATTCTCATGCAAAGCTCTGTAGTGCCTAAGCATGGATGAGGTGTTGTTGTTATATCCCAGCTCCCTGGCACATAGCAAACACTTCACCTTGTACAAAAGTCAAGACAGCTTAACATAAATTGTATTGCACCATCAGTATCATGAAAATACATCTTCTGTAGAAATTTACATACCTTGTTGGGAGGAATAAGATCAAAATGTTCCCACACAGGGGAGGACATCCTCCTCTTCTTAGCTGGCTCCATTCTCTCCTGACTTTCTCTCCTCACTCTCATAAACCTCCAAACTGTCTCCAAACTCTCACTAACCGCAACTCTCCATCAAACACCCACATTTTGAATGAAGTCTGAGGGGTTTATATCGCTGTCATATCTCGCGGCAAAGTTCGAACCACTTCATGAACCAGTCACGTGGTACAGCCGGGCAGCGAGGCTTCGGACGTCATCATTTTCAGCTCCTCCCATAAATGAAGCAAGCCTCGATACGCGCATCGCGGAAACGCCCCCTCCATTACTCGACACAAGCTTCGAAGCCTCGATACAGAACGTCCCATCACTAGAGACCACGGGACTGTAAAACATGATTGTTGGGCTTCATTTCTGTACTGAGCAGTCATTTCAAGATTAGTCAGCAAATAACAATTAGTTGTTCATGAGACTAAAATCATCCCACTGTGGTAATGTAAATATAAATATGGCCAATATTATAGTATTTTCAGATTATTATGATATATATAGCTTTAAAACCAAGTTAACGCTGAAAGTACAAACATCACTAATGTCACACAACTTTGCCGACATGTGGCCAACAGCAATGTTTTAATGTTCTTCATTATTAAACATTCGCACATAAATAAGTGACAGTCATATTCAGTACTTTGACAGTTCACTCTTCGGCCGCTCCCTTCTGCCGTATTTTGCGGCAAAATTATCCACACCCACCGCCGCGCTATGAATTGTGGGATATATGGGACCACGAAGCGTGCACCGGACCACGCTTGATATTTGGGGAAATCGACGGCGCATTTGGAGTATGCATTTGAAGTACACTTCGAATTGGGACAGCCGTCGTCGCGTGGCGGTGACGTAATCGCACTTAAAATGCGTACTTCAAGCGTGCAGACCCTGAATTGGGACAGAGCCTGAGTTTGCATACTCAGTCTCAGGATGAATTTGCTCGTCATTTTTCGTTTTTATGGGCCGATGGGGTTCTAGTTCTTTTCTTTTTTTAACGGTATAAATGAAAGGTGGTGGATTGGCCAGTTGGTCATGATCGACTCTGGGCTGGACCAATTACAGCCGAGGAGGTCGAACTTTAAAGTTGAGGTGAAAAGGAACGCGATTTGTGCCGTACTACTTCAGCTAGAAAGTTGCTAATTCAATCATGAAACTGATCAATGATCAGCTGATCGGCCTTTCTCTGCGCCAGAAACAGGAAACCAGCGGAGGTCGGGCTAAACAACAGCAGCACGTTTAAGCTTGATCAGCTGTTGTTAGAATTTATTTAATATTAATTTCTTTAATATTAATAATAATGTAGATTATTAAAATGCTCATTGTTCATCAAGTTCAAACTCTAGTCCTTGGGGGGCCAGTATCCTGAATGATTATCTAGGGATAAGTGGAAGGTTGTCATCATACAGATGACTCTAACATAATATATAATTAATAATATCTAATTATTAGATTTTTTTTTATTATATAATAAATAAAAGATTTTATTATAAAATCTATATATATTATAAAATAATATATAGATAATAGCTAATATTAGTAATAGTATTATATATATATTATACTATTATAATAGTATACTAGTAATATCTATCTAGATAGATAGATAGAGGTCCTCATATATGTGGGTACAGATCTAACATAATATATTATGTTAGATTGTTTATATAATAATTATAATCTAATTATTATGTTATATATTTAGGAGGTAAAGACTTCAGAGTAGGTGGACACTGGACAATTTTAATGACATCATACAGAACAGTGTCAGTGTATGCACGATGAACATATCCTCTTTTAAAATATCCAAAATGTTCTGGCAGAAAAAAGACGTCTATCTACAGTCCAGGTAAAATCCAAAGTATAAAAATATATTACAAATCTCCTGTATTTACAAAGACTGCTTCTCTCTACAGTTACAGCTGTCAGTTTCCAGCCTAGTTGTGTTACTTACACTTACATACACTCAGTAAAGTCAGCACCTAATGTAGAAAACACTGGAGGCTACACAAATCACAACAAACAAGTCCCTCTACGTCCCACCGACGAGGGAGCGACAGCCGAGGTCACCACGAGCCGCTCAGAAGAACATTCTGCAAGAGAAACGGTAAAAACATCAGAGCTGTTTTCTTTTTCTGTCAGCATCTAAAAGCATCTTTGCAGGCGTACCTGTAGATGTTCGGGTCCAGGAGGACAGCCGTGTCTGAGGGCAGCTTGGACAGATGAACCACCTTGGTCTTCTGCTGCACTCTGTCGCTCTCGTTCACCCACACGTCGGGCAGTCTGACGCGAACGACAACACGGTTACACTAACATGCATGTTTAACACTGTGGGTTCCCCCACTCAGTCTGGCCTGTTCTGTGTAACTGAAGCTGGGGAGGACTTACATGTCCTCAGGTGTCCAGTGCAACAGGACCTTCACTTTCCCAGAGTCCTCCTTCCTTTTGGCAATTACCTGAACACGCACAAAACATGGCATCACACCTGCACAGGACTTTGTGTGTTTGCTATGTGTGTGTCTGTGTGTGATTACCGTGCTGTGGAAGACTACACTGTGTCCATTACCCAGGCTCTCGATGTGTGTTGCTAGATTGAGAAGGATGGCTCGGTGGCGGATGGCGTCCATGGTCTGAGCGTCAAAGAAGTCGTGAGGTCGTGCTAGAAAGACGAAACGATGAATTCATTTAACGTGTGAACCTGGAGGGACGCTGTGCGTGTGTGCGGTACGTACGGAGCGAGCGCCTGTGCTTGTTCTTCAGCTTCCTCCTCTTGTTGAGGCCGGCCTTGGATGGAGATTCCTCTTTGACTTTACTCTGGCTGGACATTTTGGACGAGCTCTGGGAGCTGAAGTGCGTGGGGACGTGGCGTGCGAGCCCCCCCTGGGAAGCAAACGTGGCGTTGCAGCCCCCGACTACACACTGGAGGAAACACAGACATGAGTGCGCGAGCGAGGCAGACTAACAGACGCGGTGACGTGCGTGACGTCAGCTGTGTGCGATCACCTTAAAAGGTTTGTCTCCACTGTGGGTCAGCATGTGTCTCTGCAGCCAGCTCTGGCTGGTGGATGGCGTGTTGTAGACTTTACAGCCCTTCCACAGACACACAAACACCTGTGGGCACAAACACAAAGACACATTACTGCGGCAGAGCTAGAGCTGCACACTAACATGCACCGCGCATTAGTGCCGACGTCTGACCAGGTTTACACGAGCGATAACGAGACCGTCCCCTCACTACAGGCTCTACCATATAAAGCACCTTGAGGCGACTGTCGTCGTGATTTGGTGCTATATAAATAAAATTGAACTGAAGTGAATATTAAAGGACGTCATCAAATTTAAAAATGTGTGCATGCCTGTCATTAGCAACACGTTAGCAGGATTCAACCAATCAGTAACCTCGATAAACCAGAAGCTCCCAGCAAGACAACTTTAGTTTGGGTTAGCCAGCAAACTGCTGACGAGCCGCAGTAATGCATCAAGGCTGTGTTCGCTTATGTTGTCCTCTTCTTTCTTCTGACCAACAGAAACGTATTTCCTGCTGGAAAAAATCAAACCTCCACGTCAATCAAACATCTTTATTCCAGTTTTACTTCTCTCCTTGTGTTTGGGATCAAACTGACTGGCACAAAGCTTTAATAGAGCAAATATCAGTCCAAACACAACCAGCCGGTTTTACTCAGGAAGTGGTGAACACTGAACCCCACGTTCACACCGGGGGTGAATGAAACGTGCTGGTATGAAGGCAAATAAACGGTGTCGCTTAAAGTCTACCCGAGTGCTCGGGTACAGTAGTAGTACCCTTTACACAACAAACAGCATGTGTTGGATATTCGTGTTAGCACAACTTTGCTGCATTTTTCCAGAGTTTACTGTTGGGCTGTGTTTCTGTAATTTAACCAGTTTCCACTCTGGAATGACCGTAGGTGGGCAGTTTCATTAAATAAATACTGTGTGTACCTTCATTACTTATGCATTATTACACACATTACACGATACTAAGAGGAAGTTCTCGTCTCTTTTTCTGCACCCTCACTACTAAATGCAGGGAGGTGGGTTAGAAGACAGAAAATCACTGAAAACAAACCAAATTCACACTTCCTCTTTCTTTGTGGGCATTAGCACTTTTTATTTTCTGAACAGTGGCGGTCGCCTGGTAGAGCTCATGACTGCTTAACCAAAGGTTGTTACAGGCAGCTCAGTGTAACTCGAACACGTCGCGTCTATCAAAACTACTCTGACGTATGAATCCAGCACACAGCTGAAACTCCAGATCACATGTTGGTCTGTTGAACCTCGTTTTGAGTCCAGACTCCATTTTCACCATCTGCTGTTTCTGACTGGAACCTCTGGTTTGACATTACGATGGCTCGCCTGGCCTCTAACCACCCATCTGAAACCAACACACACAGTAACGTGTCACTGACCCCGCCTCTCTGTCCATCCACATGTGTTGCTCTGATGTGCTCAGCCAGGTCAGGGCTGCTGGGAAACAGCAGCTGGCAGTGATCCCAGCAGCAGGTGTAGCTCAGAGATTTGCCCCCTGCCACCAGTGAACCACTCCCTGCTACTCCACCCGTGTGACCGTTCAGCATAGCGGGGGTGGAGCGACCGCTGGACGCTGTGCTCTCCATGTCCATCAGAGTGGAGCTGATACTGAAACACACACAAAAGACGAGAAATCAAAAGATGATCTGACAGAATGAAAATAAATGCATGTCAAGTATTTTATTTCACTCGTCACCCAACTGATGGGTGGGGTCAGTGCAGGATGAACCACTAAAACCAGTTTAGGAACAGAGCCTTCTCGGGTGACAGCTGTGGTCTGGGAGAGAGTCTGTAACTCTGTCTGCAAAATATAATATATAATGACCAATGTTGGGTAATTAATTATATAGTTACTTCTTCAAAAAAGTTACTGAGTTTTGCAAACAACAAAGTTTTTTGCAGCTGTTTACCTAAAAATGCAGCCAAGGCGATTTTTTAAATAAACATTTCAAACTATTTATAGAACAATCAGCTGTTCTGCATCAAATCTGATGCCACAAATAATTTGTGTCACAAAAAATAACTTGTGTCCACTATGAGATGAAGGAGAACAACAGCCTGATACCTGCAGGCCTGACAGCAGCAGATGTGTCACTGCTGTAACACCTGTAACACTCAGCAGCCGCCTCATTGTTCTGACACACACAACAACACTACTGACTACACACTAACTACACACTGACTACACACTGACTACACACTAACTACACACTGACTACACACTGACTACACACTAACTACACACTAACTACACACTAACTACACAAGATTTGCGCTAAACGTCGCAAATCTCTCACATCTCAAACACGCCGTCACTCCTAAAACTTCCCCCTTCCTAAACAACTAAATGCCATGTTGCCATATCATTTTTTGATTGGTCCACATGGTACATTTTTCCACCAATAGGAAAGGCTGGGGTATTTTTGCTCACAGGCTTTCGAGTGTTTTCCTTATAAAACGCAGTTTTCCCCGTTTCTTCCTGCAGTAAATATAAACAACGACAGTATTCAGGAAGAAAACAAACATTGCAGATATTTTATCATAACTCTGGTTTTACGTGGCCGATCAACACAATTTAAAAACTGGTATAAAGTCCACACTTTGTCCGTCAGTTGTTCCGTCTGTCCTGCTCACGTCTCCAATGGTTGTACACGTTGTCATTAACGTGGCTTCACTCCACATCAGCCGCTTTGCTAAAACACCGGTGTCGGCACATAAGGACGCTGTCATAGCCTGTCAACCACGTTGATTAGCTGCATATATACGAATGTGAATCACATCATTGGCTGGACTGTGGGATAAGGAGGCATCGTTCTGATCCCATACGGGAGCAGCCAGTCACTGACTAACACTGCAAAACAGAATTGTTGACATATTAATTTTAATTTCAATTCAGGTAGATTTTTTTCTGTGCGCAGAGACGCCAGCAGTGCGCACGCGCGCAGCTTAGAGGGAAAATTGACCGTGAGTCCAGAAGATTTACAAAAACTCTTAAAACTCGATGAATATTTATCTCAATATCCAAACTATCCAATGCTAATGTGTAGGAAAACTGTCTGACACCACATCAGACAGTAGAGATTGACAGACCACGTGACTTTCGCGCATTGCATGCCGGGAACTCGTGACAAAACAATCCAAGTACGCATCAAATACAAGCATTTGCAGCACCGCAAAACGTTCATTCTTCGGTTCCAATAAATTCTTGCTTTTTCTTTGCCCCCCAAAAAAGGTATGTACAAAACGAAGGAGAACAATGCCGGTCCGTACAAAGACAGACTTGATGAAAAGTCAAAGACAAGATACGAGGAAAAAAAGCAAACCAGTGAAAGGGTCAGACCCTCACGAGCACACAGAGTGGACAAAATACGTCAGCGTGCTGCCCAACTTTCACCACGCTCATATTTATAATTACACGGTTCTTGGAGTGAGTGCACACACTCATAAAGTTTAGTAACTTCAGGTCACTGCAACAAGCCCAGGTACAGTTTACCGACGGATGGGTGCAGGACCTTGAAATGCACCGTGTAGAAAGTAAAGACCATCGTACATATCATAAGTTTACCAGTCTCACAAATCGTCGTCATAAATACACATTCATTAATACGACCTTTGAGCTCAACGGTAATTAATTAGTAGTGGAAATAATTTCTGGTTCATTACAGAAATGTAGCAGTGACAATAATACTGTATGCTGTAATCGTACTGGGCAATTGGTGATACAAAAAACCTGTTTTACCCTGTGAATAAAAGTATATGTTTTTGTCAATGTACCATAATAACAGAAGCGAAACGCAATATTGTGTCAGGATAATTCACTATTTATGCACAATAAACAAAGGAGCATAGCGC